GCAAACTGAGTATATACATAACTGATCCAGCAGAAATACAAGGACAGTTTAAAATTAGAAAACCCAAAGTAACTTACCAAATAAACAAAGTAAAAAAGAAAACCCATATGATCATCTCAATAGATGCAAATGGAAAAAAGCATTAGATAAAAATTTAACATCATTCGTTATAAAAACTCTTGTCCAACTCAGAATTGAAGGGAAATTCCTGATAAAGGACATCTATCAAATACCAACAGCAAATGACATCCTTGATGGTGAAGTATTTGAGGCATTTCCTTCAAAATCAGACATGAGAGAAATCTACCTGCTATTGCTAATACCATTCAACAGTGTACTATGTGTTTTAGCTGGCAGAGTAAGACAAGAAAAAGAAATTAAAAAAATAAACATTACAATAGAAGAAAAAATTGCAATTTTATGTGCAGATGGCATGATTGTCTACATAAAAATTCAAGGAAATCTACAGATAAACAGAACTAAGAGCTCAGTAAGATGGCTGGATATAAGGTCAACATACCAATGTGATATAAAAATCTTTTTTTTTTAAAGATTTTATTTTTTTCCTTTTTCTCCCCAAAGCCCCCCAGAACATAGTTGTATATTCTTAGTTGTGGGTCCCTCCAGTTTTGGCATGTGGGACGCTGCCTCAGCGTGGTTTGATGAGCAGTGCCATGTCCGCGCCCAGGATTCGAACCAACGAAAACTGGGCCGCCTGCAGCGGAGCGTGTGAACTTAACCACTCAGCCACGGGGCCAGCCCCTAAAAATCTTAACTATTATCTCCAGGAGAGAAGATGGGGAACAGGATGGAGGACCAGCTTTAGCCAAATGTCTGAATGAGGAGATCTGAAGCAAATAAAATAAAATCTTATTAACAAATCTGGATGATGGGTAAAAATATGTTACGTCGTTTTATTTAAAAAGATGTTTCTGTATGTGTACATAATACACATAGAATGATTTATGCAACATATATGTGATTTATGAAGGACAACTTAAAAATGAGCCCTGTGACCCCTCCGTTCACTACCTGTATCTTCCTTCTTCACTCTTTGTTTCTCAGCCCAGAGGTAAGCCCTACCCTGGATGTTGCATTCATAAATTCTTTGCTTTTTTTTAAAATGGAGTTTGATCTATCATATTATTTTGTGTACTTTTTTTATGTGTTTCAAATGCTTCAAAATTAAAAGAAAAAAATAAAGCAAAATATGTCTATTGACAATCTCCAAAAGGAAAATGATTATCAGAAAAGAAATGTTTGGGCAGAGTACCTTGATTGAGTAGAGCTTCGATTTCCTTATCTGTGTCCTTCTCGCTGCTCATTCAGCAATACTCCTGAGTGAGAACCTCCTGGTGCCAGGCCCTGGGTCAGGCACGGGGGTGCAAGCTCCTGGCACTGGGTGGGTGGTTGAGCACGGGCTGGAATAATGTGTGTGAGGCGCATCAACATGGTGGCTGGAGCACTGATGCCACTCAATACATGGTGACCATTATTGCTGGTTCCTAAGAAATGGCACCAAGTTTACAGCTGCAAAGGTAAGGGATCTGTCTCTCATTAGCCCCGCCCTTGGCTTCATTGTGCCCAACACATGCTCATTAGAGTCTGTATTCAGCTTGTTCCATGCAGTTTTGGAGGGCCGCAGCCTAGCGCGTTAAAAAAAATGTTCATCCCCAGCAGAGGCTCTTAGTGGAGCAGCTCGGGCCCTGGAGGGTGTGTAGGGTGCAGGGAGGCCTGTAGATTTCACGGTCCGGAGAGTGAAGGATGGAGCCCTGGTGGGGGCGTGATTGCTCCTGAAGGAGACACACAGTCTCCCTGGGCCTCTGCCCGAGCCCGGCTTTGGCCCTCATTCCTTGCTGCTTGTGTCTTTCTGCGTCACCTTCAGCCACACAATCAAACATTTATAACAAGAGAAAACAAACAAGACATCAAACTTGGGTAGCATTTAAGTTTGTGTTGCTGAGAGTCTGTTCTTGGACTAAAGGAATGTTGTAGGGGGCAGGGTTGGGTTGGGAGGGGGAGGGTGCATTTGGCTTCATTATTCTGGCACAGAAGACTCACCCAGTTCTCTGAGAGCTATGGAAGCCCTTGCTGCTGAAATGGCTCAGAGATGTGCCCATGCTCAGCAGGTCTGAAATGTCAGTTCCCATTGGTAGGGTGCCTTTGACCCTGGCCTCCTGGCCCTGCGAGCAAGCCTGCTCCAGGCCCTAGGGGTGTGGGGGGGACATCTTGGAGGGCAGGGGCAGGGTCGAACACCCACTGCACATGGCAGGCGCCCTGGTTGGACTCTCCTGTAGTTTTGGTTGGAAGACGTGAGCTTTGAACCTCCACTGGGCTCTGACGCCAGCCAGTTTCCTCTTGGTCTGGAGCCGGGGAAGACGTGGGTTGGAGCATGTCCAAGCCTTCCTCCTGGGCTCACACCCCTGAAGCGGGGTCTTGGCTCTGTGGCCCTGGAGCCGTTGGCTGGCTGGGAGGGGAGGTGTAAGAGTGCCCAGTTTCCCACTTCTGTCCCGGCCTTGCTTTCCCCAGCGCCCGAAGCCTAGAGCTCTGCAGCTCCCTGCCAGTGTGGCCGCCCTGCAGGCTGACAAAGCCTGCTCAGACGGAAGGCCTGTATTCTGTGACTCCTGGACCATTGCCGACCATGGCGGTGCTGAGTCACCCAGGCTCACCTGTTCTGTCCAGGAGTGCTGGGCCCAGAACCCGATGGACCCTGCGGGTATGGGGAAGCCCACCCTGACTCCTTGGCTGAGCTGGCCTCTGCACATGGGGAGGGGCAAGGGGGGCCAGAGCCTCTGTGCTGGGCCTGAAGCCCCCTGGAGAGTGGCTTTTCCAGAGGCCTTCAGAGCCCAGGCCAGTGTTGCTGTGTTGGGGGCCTCTGTCTCAGGAAGACCCTGCCTGCTTAGGTCCCCTCCGTCCCCATCAGCCCTGACTGGAACACCGGTGCGGTGGTGGTCTGCCCAAGGTCTCCCAGGAGGTCTTAAGAGCCAGGGCCCCAGGTCAGCCAGGGACAGCCAGGCTGCCAACTTGGGCCCTCCAGCCACTCATCAGCCTGCTTTCATTATTTACTTAGCAAACAAAGGCAGAAGTGAAAACAGTGAGCAGAACCTTCTTCTTTTCTGCTCGTCACATTGGCACAAAATTGAAGGGACTAATAACACCCAGTGCTGAAGAGAATGTAGGAAAACAGGTTCTATGGTACGAAAATGGCAGGGAGCAAGGGGCCCAGCCTGTTTCAGAAGGGCCACTTGGCGGCATCTGATAACTATTAAAAGACAGGTATCTTTTGATCCAGCAGTACGCTTCTGAGAACAATTCATATAGCAAAATGTACACAATGGTATAAAAAGTTTGCAGTTCTGAGCATTTGTATATAACACAAAAAGTTGTGTTCAAGAATGTTCACTGCAGCTTTGTTTGCAATTGTAAAAAAAAATGACAACAGCCTTAATGTCCATCAGCACAGGGATGCATAAATCAACTAGACTCTGCTACTGAAAGCTCACAGCTGTTAAAGAGTGAGGTGGATCTGTATGAGCCAAATGATATGCACAGACGTTTGGGGTATGTCGTAAAGTGAAAATGAGTCACAGAACCACCTGTTTCCTATGACCCTATTAAACAAGCAAAGTCCTTTGTGTGTGTGCACGTGCACACATGTGCACACACACATAGGAAAGGTCTAGAAGGCTGTTAATGGTGGTTTTCTCTGGGAGAGGACTGATAATTGAGATCATGGGCCACTTGCACTTTTTAACCTATGTGTTCCTGTATTGTGTGATGCTTTTACAAGTGTGTCTTTATTTTTAAATAAAAAGAAAACACAATGAAAAACAAATAAGCAATTATTCTTATGCATCATGAGGACCCAAATGTGTGTGTATACACACACACACACACACACACGCACACACACACGCACACACACGCACACATGCAAGGTGGGGGAAGAGTTCACCATTTCTCCTGCCTGCCCCAGGGCTGCAAACTCTTCCCGTGGCCCGTCCTCCCTCAGGTCAAATCACCCAGTGGGGGCCACAGCCGGGTCTAACTCCTATTCCTGAGCAATTTCCCAGGCCTACCCTCCAACCCTCCCTGTGACTTCCATGCGGAGCCTCCCTGCCCCTGCCCCGTGCTCCCAGAGCCCCCTGCCTGTCTCCTCAGTGGCCACTTAACACTGGTTACCGCCACCGCCCCCCGATCCTTGCAGCTACACCCTGGGCACCACCAAGGCAGGATCCTACCCCTCTTTGCTCTTCATTTATGTGCACAGAGAGGGGCCTCAATAATGTTTGGTGACTGACATAACAATGAATAATAAAGGAACCATCAGAGGGATGCTGAGCAGGAAGGGACCTCTCAGATCACCCAGCCCACTTTCCTACCCAGCGCCCAAATGCCCTCTGCTTGACACCTCTAGTGATGGGGCAGCCACTCCAGTCCAAGACAGCTCACCCCGTCTTCCTGTGGGGAGCAAGTGGCTTCCTTGGGTTGATCAGGAGGAGGGGCAGTGGCTGAGGCATTTCCCAGATAAATTTAAAGTCTGTGGTCAGTTCAGCAAGCGGTTTAGGACTTGACAGGGTGAAATGAAATCCCTCCATCTCTCCAGCTGGGAGAGAGTGCCCGCTGCATACTGTGCTGCCAGGGAGACCTCATCCAGTTCCAGCAGGTAAGCCCCACCCAAGCCACCATGTTGGCAGAGTAAATTAAGTATTAAAAACAAACTAATTAGTACTTCAGGGTAGCTTCATTCAGAAAATTACCGTACCGAGGAGCTGTCTCATTTAGAACTGACTTAATTAAAAGGCACTTGGTAAATTCCTGTAACAGATGAGGACAGCACTTTCCAGAAACACCATAATTGAAATGTTTTACTATGTATATCAAATGGTTATCCAATCTCTAATATCATAATTCCTTAATAATGCCATTGACAGTGACAAACAGCAACCCTGGAAACAAAGCAGCTAATTGTTCCCTCCTCTTGCCTCCGCAACCCACAGGAAGTCAGAACTTCTCTGTTGTACTTTGTTCTTCGAATTTTTAATGCGTGTGAGTAAATGCCAGCTCTGGGAGGAATCCACCATAAAGATAAAGAATGCGAAGAAGCCCTGTTTCTGACTGGTTGACCTGTGGTTCAGAAATAAAGCGTCTTTCCCAGGTGAGGCGACAGGGGCTGGTTCAATATCTGCCACAGTGGGTGGGCTGTGGTTTTTGGGGTAGCATAGAGATGCTGAGTGACTCGCCCAAGTTGCCCAGCAAAGTGGAGGTTGGAGAGAAAGCCCCGCCCAGGCAATGCGGCATGGGCTGGCCACTGCTGATGCCCTGGGAATGAGGCCTGAGGCAGGCAGATGGAGTGCCAACAACCTGTTCTGTCCCCAACCCCCTATTTGCCAGGCTTCCTCCCAGCCCAGCTCCCTGGACTGAGTTCATGTAGGCTGCCCTGTGTGCCTCTTCCTACAGGAAGGGTGCCAACCTTCTCCCGGGAGCACCTGGCCTTGGCATGGCTCAGGGGAGGAACCTAGACAATGGTGGAGAGTTGGGCAGTGTGTCCACTGAACCACAGGAAATTGACAAAATACAGAATCTCCCAGGCTTTGAAGGGATGGGGGGAGTTGAGAAGGCTTGTGAATAGAGAGGGAGCCTTCTCAGCCTCTAAAAAAAGTCATCTTTTTGCTAACTTGCTGGGTGGCTGGGCAAGTGGCATCCCCACTCCATGCTTCAGTTTCCTCACCTACAAAAGAGGTGGAAATTCTACGAGGGCCTATGGACTTTAGAACCATCTGAGTTCAAATCCTGCTTGGTTATATGTGGTATTGTGGAATTGGAGGCCCCTGTTCCTTAACCTTGCAAAATGGCAACTGCAGCATCCCTGGGGCATGGAGGTCAGGGTTCAATGAGTCAACAGGTAAAGCAGGAAGCATGGGAACTGCACATGGACAGTGCTCAATAAATTGATTGGTGTTGGGTTTATAGCAAGAGGGAAGAGAGATGGAACAGGTAGGATCACATCCATCTTGTGAGGATAGGGGGCCAGCTGACTTACTCAGCAAGGCTCAACCGAAGCCTTCAAAAGGGAGCTGCACGGAAAAAGCAATGCGGGAAGCTCTGACCCTGAACCAAGTGCACGTTACTCTGAAATAGCCCTTCTGCTGGAAGAATGTTGTTTGTTCTGGTTGCCCTAACCTGTGGAAGCTCCCAAGGGCGTATTCTCTCCAGCCCCAGCCGAGCACAGCGGTGATGCAGGAGCTGCTTATAGACTCTCAGAATAGACTCAGCATCAGAGCTGGAGTGGGCCATTGGAATTGGCTAGCCAACACTTCATCTTATAGATGGGAAAACTGAGGCACAGAGAGGGTAATTCGGGCTCCCATCCTGAAAACCATGGCAGAGTTGGAATCAGGGTCCAGCCTCCTGGCTCCTGGTCCAGTGCTCCTTTTACAATTCACTGTTACAGCCCAGGCAACCACCAGCCCACTGGTGCCCGTGAGAGAACTAGAAGAAGGTGCTCCATCCTCGTAGCTGGAGGGTGTGGGCTGGATCCCTCGACCACGTGCCTTCGTGTAGGGCAGAACCCACTCACTACACGTGGCAGGCTATACCGCCCACTCTTCCCACAGCCAGGCTCATGTGCGCCTTCAAGAGCCACCCAGAGGCCTCTGCTATGAGAGGCCTTCTGTGGTGCTCCAGATGTGCCCTGTGACTCTGGCTGTGTGTGGGGTCTTTATCCACCTGGGTCACAGCCCCCATCCCTATTTTGATGCCACCACCCACTAGCCCAAAGCCAATTCACCAAAAACCAATTTGCCCAGCAACACCTTCACTCCCAATTTGACATATTTTTGTTAGTCCATTTGAAGAGTTTTTGCATACTTTGAGTTTTTTAAGGAATTTCTTAAGCCGGCTCTCATTAGGACAGTTCTGCCTTGACTCCAGGTCAAGCACTGCATTTTAGAAGCTTCTAAGGAGAAATGGAAGACCTTGAGAGAAAGTCATTCATGTGTAGAAGAAGGGGCAGTCATTCCCCTGCAATTAGGAAAACACCTGCCTCTGTATTTCACACTCTTCTTATTTCTCATTCTCTTTCATCTCAACCCCTGCCCAGAGGACAGAGGCAGGGCATTCCTGGGGGGCTTGGAAGTGTAAATGGGGGCCTCTCTTCAGCACAGGCCCCAAAGGATGTGCTGAAGAACGAAAGGATTGAATAATTTAAAAGCATACTGTACAATGACTAGAAAATAGAATTATTAACTTCCCTGGAAAGGGAGGGCATGTCAAAGCTGGAAACAGTGGACAACATTATAAAAGAAAAGGTGGTGGCTTTAATACATCTAAATTTCCATATGTAAAACAAAACAGGACAAAACAAAACATAATTGAATGAAAAACATCCCTCAGAATCTTTACAAGTACTTGCATCAGTTTGAACCAAGAATTCAATTTCTGGGGAGTCTTTGCTAACGAATAGCCCTTAAATGTGGAGTTCTGTTATGCATAAAGTTGTTTATTGTGGAATTATTTATGACAGTGGGGAAAAACCAGAAAATAACCTAAATTTGTAGTGACTGAGGAATGGATGTCTATTTAAAAGACTATTATGAAGTCATTTTAAACACTGTTTCTAAAAATGTTCACTAAAAGGCAGTGATACATAGCATTAGGAATACAGCTTGGGATCAGCCAGACCTGGGTTAGAAACCCAGTGCTCAGGCCTGCCCGGTGGTATAGTGGTTAAGTTTGCATGCTCTGCTTTGGTGGCATGGGGTTTGCAGGCTCAGATCCTAGGCACAGAATTACACATCACCCATCAAGCCATGCTATGGCAGTATCCCACATACAAAATAGTGGAAGATTGGCATAGGTGTTAGCTCAGGGACAATCTTCCTCACCAAAAAAAAAAAAGAAAGAAAGAAACCTAGTCCTACCCATATAACCCTGGGACTTAATCTCTCTGTGAACCTTAGTTTACATATCTGTAAAATGGGGATAACAGTACCTACCTCACACGGTTTTGTGAGCATCACATGAGATAATGTACATAAAATAGCACAAACTAAGCCCTTGATTGTCACATATTATGATTATTACTTTTGCATAATGTAGAAAAATTGTCTATGTTCATTAATTCATTTATTCAGCAAATACTTACTGAGGTCCTACTTGTGCCACATACTGCTCAAACTGCCAGAGCTCCAGCAGTAAATAAATTAGTGCTAAATGAAAACCCCAGAAGGTATATATGCAGCATGAGCACAGATATGTTAAAAATAAGAGGTTTTCCCTGGCGGGCTGGCCTGGTGGCGCAGTGGTTAAATGCGCACGTTCTGCTTCTTGGCGGCCGGGGGTTCGCTGGTTCCGATCCCGGGTATGGACATGGCACCACTTGGCAAAAGCCATGCTGTGGTAGGTGTCCCATGTATAAAGTAGAGTAAGATGGGCACGGAGGTTAGCTCAGGGCCAGTCTTCCTCAGCAAAAACAGGAGGATTGGCAGCAGTTAGCTCAGGGCTAATCTTCCCCCCCCGCAAAAAAAAAGAAAAAAAAAGTTTTCCCTGGAAAAAAGACTGGAAGGAAATAGACCAAGATATTAGCTGTGACTGTCTTTGGATGGTGAGGCCACTGAGTGGGCTGTTCTCATGACCCAATTTTCTTTATTAAGTATGAATTTCTTTTGTGAATAGTAATGAAGTTTCTATATATTTAAAAAGTCAGAGAAAAACGATGGTGCATGTCAGTTAGCCTTTTCTGATCCAGTTTCATGCTGTGATGTGGATGTTGTTAAAAGCAGGACACTGTGGTGAAGTGTGCCTCTGAGGCCTGGCACACGTACCCCTTCACTCTCAAGCCAGCCTCGCTGCCCTGGGAGCAGCACCAGGTCACTTGCTAATTTGCTTTGCATATGTCCACACTGCACGAAAAGGTGTGCAGAATCAAAACAGAACATGGAAAAGCAAAAAAAGGAAACACCCCAAAGACTGCAGCCGATTGCAGTCTGCAGTCCCATAAGCTGATCAAATACTTTTTGGCAATATGACGGTGAGGGGGCAGCATCCGTGGAGGCGCTGGCGAGGCCCTGCAGCCTCTGCTGGCCCTGAGTTTCCTCCTGTCGAGGCTGACCGGAGATCCTGTGGCTGGAGATGGACAGGAGAGCATCTTTTCTTTCTCCCACAGGAATGGTCCTCAGCGACCTGGCTCACGTCCCTGTCCTGGAAGCCTTCTTAGTTCCCCGGGAACCTCTCCTCATCCAGTCCCCACCTCCTGTTTGGAGAGGCCTTGGCAGCACCTTTGACATAGCCCCTCCCTCCAAGCTCTGGGGACACTCACCGAGTCTCTGTTGACTCTCTGTGGGCACCCCACCCCATGGGGTACCCCATGGACCACCTGCCTGTGTGTCTGTAGTCACACAACACCCAAGCCTTTATTAACCAGAGTTTCTGCCCTGCACCAGCAGGCAGCTTTTCAGGCAAAAAGATCCCTTTGTTCTCTTTCTCCGACCCCCTTAGGTATCAAAGGCTTCATTCCCTGGGGAGTTTCCAGGAAAGCAGGCACCCCACTGCTCTGGGGAGGGGCACGAGAAGGGCTCCCAGGGTCAAGGTCACTATCTTGGTTACCAGCCCTGCTGGGTCCCTATGTGTGTCCCTTCCCTCGCCAGGTCCCCCCTTTTCTCATTTCTAAATGAGCAGGGGTGTGCTGAGGGGCGGCTGAGATCACTGCCACAGCTCCAACAGCAGCCAACACAGGCTCATTGCACCCTCAAATTAGACTATGTGGTGGCTCCTCATCATCACCCCTCTTCATGGATGAGAAGTCAGAGGCCCAGAGGCATTGAGCCACAGGCCCAAGGTCACCCCACGAGTAGGTGGTGGAGCTGGGATGCAAAGCAAACCAGGTGCTATTGACAACCTTGTGCATGGCGTATTTTAGGAGAATGGCTTAAGTTTGGGGGGAGGCCTCCTTTTCCTCTATCCTGAGGCTCTACCCAAAGGGACCCAGAGCTGGAGGACCTGCAGCCCGAGTTCTGGCCTTTGCTCAACTCCTTCAGACCTCAGGTCCTTGCATTTTTGGATGCGATGGGCAGAATAATATTTCCCACTTCCCTCAAATGTCCACGCTCTAATCCCCAGGACCTGTGAGTGTGTTCCTTTACATGGCCAAAGGGACTT